CTGAGGTTTGGTGCAGGCTACCTGAGGTTGGGGGTTTAGGATGGTGCAGGCTACATGAGGTTGGGGGTAGGCGGTGCCAGGATACCTGGGGTTGGGGGTAGGAGGTGCAGGATACCTGGGGTTGGGGGTAGGAGGTGCAGGATACCTGGGGTTGGGGTAGGAGGCGCGGAGGGAGTGGCCACCATGGATTTGGACAAAATTAGACATTGACCAATGGCATTGTGACAAAAAACGAGCGGGGTTGGGTAGTTGTACACGCGTGCTCCGTGACTATTGCGTGACTATTGCGTGACTATTGCTGTACCATCCGCAGTCACGGCAGGTAAAAACAAAGCTCTGTGATTGCAACCGCAAACAATGTTCGTCATGAAACGAATGCTGCGGCGTAAAAAAGTTATCAGGCAGACTAGACTGACTTCGGTGTCCGCGGTGGCCTATGTTCCTCGCCGTACACTACGGGTCCCAGTCGTGAATCATGCCCGCATTCCACCCAGGAGCGTTTGCGTCACTGAACGAAACAGCGTGCGACTCAAATTGCTGGACGTTTTAGGTGACGATCCGCGCCTTCTTGAAAGGGACCAGCTGTTTTCTTTTCTTGCGGACGCTGTGTTTGGACTACAGCTATATCACGCAAACTTATTAACTCGGTTGTGGGACGCAATATGAGGGCAGCGGTCGGGTGTGCTCTAAAACCCCAATAACCTGCAGCAACGGTCAGATGGCTCCCAGTCTTTGTCTCGCGTTCATCCTCGCAGCTGGCAGCTTCTACCCACATGTTTCTCCTGTCGGGGCCGACGGGGACCCCACACAGCATTATAGCGCTGTGCTTCGAAGCACCATACTCAGCCGACAGCACACCAGCTGATCATCACGCTTGAAGTTTATATTCTTTGTTCGAGTTTTTGTCTCCCGCGCGCAACACCTTAGTCAGCTGTCATCAACCAACCTCCGCATTCGTTTTTGTCTGCAGCGCCCGTCGCAAGACCGTCGTTTTTGCCTTACCTCGTCAAAAAAGGCGGCTGACATGTCTGTGACGTCATGTGATCACGTGTCCACCATTGCGCCTGTCTCGGCCAGTTATTCGCGCGCGGAGAGAGGCCGGGGTCTGGTCCGTTCGTGGAGGCATCTCCTTCCCGGCGCGACGAACGTGCCGCGCGTGGTGCCTCTCGCGCGCCGGCCGCCTCGGCGGCGCCGCGACCGGTGTGGTCCTCATTAACCCCGCTCGGTACTCATGCAATTGGAGCGGGCCGTGCCGGCCGGCGTGGTGATGTGACTGTGTTTCGTGGCTGCACGACGCGGGCGGCGCTGCTGGCTCTCAGCGCTCGCCTGTCAGTGCGTAGTTGGTCGGTGCCTAGTGGAGCCCGTGTTCCGTTCCATTCTCCGCTCGCCCTTTGTGGCCCCACCCTCCTCTCCGTCGACCCTTGGGGTCAGCATGTGAACGGGGGCGTCCACCTGTGTTCCCTCGCTCGCTGCTCCGTCTCCGCGGCGTCAGCTGGCCAACAGCGAGCCGCCGGTCCGCCGGCGCCTCCCACACCTCCCACTCCATCCGCCGTCCGGTCCGCTGACTGGACTTTTGGGGTCAGCCGGCGGCGGCGGCGGGGACGGCCCGCCGGCCGCCTGACGGTCGGCGGTCTGGAGGCCGGAACCCCCGCCCACCACCACCACCCCGTCTGGAGGCCGGAACCCCCGCACGGTGGCCGGGGCCGTGACTCCAGCGGCCCGGCGGCGGCGCAGGCGGCCCGGCGAGCGAGCGAGCGGCGTACAAACAGGGCCTGGCGCTCGGCGCGCTCGGCACACACGCTCGGCCCGGTCGGACAGGAAGTGGGCCATGTGGGCTCTGGGCCGGGCCTCTCAGGTTCGGGGCGAGAGGTGAGACTGGCCGTGACGCCGCTGGGGGAGCCCGGGCGCCATCTGGCGGCAGTTCCGGCGATGCGACGGCTGGCTGAGCAGTGCCGCCTGGTCGCGAGAAAATAGTCGTGCTGCCGGTTTAAATCGCCAGCCATGCACACTCGTCGAGCCGCTGACGTGTTCGTCCGTGTCCACCCGGACCGCCCCCGGATGTGGCTTTGCGGCGTTGAGTCAACTGCAGCTGTTTTTAGTGACAACGTTCAAGGACGTATTCACTTTTTGTGGAATCCATAGTGACGCTCTTGCTTGTATTTTTGATGTCCGGCACTTCTCTGCCTAATCCACAAGTTAGGAATTCTGACGCGTCATGCGTCATTACTATGACGAAAAGGACACCGTGAGATAATGGCGTACAATCACCAATTAAATCGCGAAAAAATGGGCATAGCTCCATCGGTTTTCACACAGTAGCCGCATGGTATACCCATTGTCAGACTGTCGTGGGGGGATAAACCGGAACCTCCACGCATACCACCTGCCGAACTTGCGCCCGATCCCCGTCCTTGCAGCTCCATTGGCGGAGTGCCGACCTTCTAACCTTTGTGCGGTGAATATGTAGGCTGGCGACCCAGAAACGGCTCTGTGCGATCTGTCTGTGCTTTTCAGTTCAGTAGCGACATCAGGAGTCGGCCTCCAGCGGGAGAGGTGTGTTGGAACGGCTCTGTGCGATCTGTCTGTGCCGTTCAGTTCAGTGCGACAGCAGGAGTCGGCCTCCAGCGGGAGAGGTGTGTTGGAACGGCTCTGTGCGATCTGTCTGTGCCGTTCAGTTCAGTGCGACAGCAGGAGTCGGCCTCCAGCGGGAGAGGTGTGTTGGAACGGCTCTGTGCGATCTGTCTGTGCCGTTCAGTTCAGTGCCGACAGCAGGAGTCGGCCTCCAGCGGGAGAGGTGTGTTGGAACGGCTCTGCGCGATCTGTCCGTGTCGTTCAGTTCAGTGGCGACAGCAGGAGTCGGCCTCCAGCGGGAGAGGTGTGTTGAAACAGCTCGGCACAGTACGACATGTCGGCAAACATTAGGTGTCTGTTGAACTAAAGTGGTGCTGCCGGGCTGATGCAGTCGGGGTCTTCACAGCAAGCTATGCCGGCACGGCCAGTTACCAAATCACCCCTAAAAAGCGTTCTGTCCAACACTACGGACACCATTTGCCTAGTTCTGTCACTCTCCACATATAAAAGCTCCATTGGATTGTTTGATCAGGGGATCGTGCGGCCGCGGTGGCTTGCAAAGCGCGCACGGTTCTCCAGACGGCCAGGTCCCGGTCCAACCGAATGAGTCCCTCGACCCCTGACGCCCAGCCCGCGGCGGCTCTTGCCTCGCCGATGACGCCGTCGCCCGGGGCGTGGCGGCGTTGGCAGCCTGCAGTGGCTGTGATGAGCCGGCCGGGGGCGGCCGTCGCCACACCGTGCGTGACCCCGGCCCAGATATTGCCGTGACCTCTGACCCGCGGCGCCCACGCCGACCGCGGTTCAAAGGCGGACGAATTAGTGGTGCGGAGGGAGCCCGTTTGGTCGTGTCAGGACTGGACGCCGGCCTCGGCGGCGCGGCTCGAGTGAGTGATTCTTCGCACGCTTTTGACGTCGGCGGCAGCGGCGTTCGAAAGCCTTTGGAGGCGGCCTGGCGTCCAAATTGCTTGGCGGATTTACGGTGCTTTGCTGAGGCGCAGTGACGCAATGTCCCGAGCGGCAACCACTCAGCTGGAATGTCGCGAGGCCTTTTGCGTGTCACCGTACCGCATTGGTGAGGACGGCTGGAGGCGGATTGCTCGCGCCGGTTCCGGGGACTCCAGACGCGCCATCACGGGCTGCGACGCAACGGCTGGCGTTACGTCGCAGCGCTTCGATTGCGGTCGTGATCTCCTCCGCCGCCCACGCATCAGCAGCTGCCGTCGGCGAGTGCGCAGCGCGTCGTGGCATACCTTCAGCGACCCGCGCCGTGCCGGGACGGCAGGGTCCGACGCGGCGCCGCGCGATCAGGGCTGTCCCTGCTCATCTGCCATCGGCGAGGTTGGTGGATGTCGTTTCAGTCCACGCCGTGTTCTGGTGGGGCCCGTGCCTGTCTGCACTGGTCCCCGCTGGATTCTCTTCGCTCGCCAGCGTCTGCCATGTTTCAATCAGGAGCGCCGGTGTCGGTACATCGGACACGTGATCGGCGTTCATGGCTGTCATTGGCCCGAAATAAGGTGGTTGGCGAGCCCTAAATCCACAATGGTCGTCGTCATTTCACCGCCGCCACCGCCGCTCGTGGCGTGAGGACGGGCTCAGACCCGGACTCATACCCGGGGCTGCACTGGCTGGCGCGGAGGTCCGGTAGCATTGCTCGACAGCTCACGGTGAAGCGAACCCCCAGATAGATCCCTTGATTGTTGGGCTTGGTGTGGCTGACACCGTACTTGCGCGCATTCACAGTTCTCTTTTGTAGGATACATTCATCAGAAAAAATGAGCACGCATCGCTTAAGCCGAGTTCAAGTGGCTATTGTACCAACGTGCAACTTTGACCTACTTTTGACAAGCTTCCATTGAAGACGTGTTGCAAATGGCCTGGACGTGAATAATAGTCTTGTAATTCAATAGACATTGATTGCCATCGGCCTGGCTTAGTTTCGCCAGGCTTTTGCATGATGTGCTAAGTTTGCGGCCAATTCCAACTTGTCCCTCCGCCCGGCCAATCAGCGAAAGTTTGGGTGATACTGGACGTGAAGATCAGGTTAGATGGATGACCCCCCGGCTTCCCCTCCCTCGGTGTTCCGCCACAGCTGCGGCTGTTGGGACAGGCTGGTCCCCAACCGTGAATTGTTTGGTATTTACATCAGCGGCCGGGGCCTCCACAGTCACATATAGAAGTGGCCGTTAATTTACCCATGGTAATGACCAATGCATAGCAAGTAGTAAGGAAGCGAGCTTATCTAAGAGAGGGAGGAGGGGGGCGGGCCGCCGTGGTGGTAAGTGAAACACAGCGTGGGAAGAGGAGGGTATGCAGGCATTGAAAACAGCGCAAGAACGCGAGCGCTGCCGCCACCAGAGCCGTCGCCGCGTGCAGCGCATGGTGCGCCCCCGCCTCGGCCGCTGGCTCACCCGCGGCTCCCTTCGTTGCAGCGTTGGACTTGGCGCAGAGCAGCAACGTGCAGGATGCGTTCGTCATCGCCGTGGAGCAGCAGGCCCGCGAGCGTCTGGAGAAGCTGTCGGCCCTGCGGAAGATCAAGCCGGTGGATATGACCAAGCTCTCCCAGCAGGTGGGTGGGGCGCCCGGCACGGCGCTCGTGAGTGGGCGTGTGTTGGGGAGAGCACCGCTGGATGAGGTGCGGTGTAGGTGGGGGTGGTCTGATCCGACTGGTTCGGAGTCTGGGTACAGAACACGTGGAGAGTCGTCGTCGTTGTTGGGGTTTCACGGCACACGCAGCGGTTGAGGCTATATGGCGTCGCCCGCCTCTCACCCTGGCGGGGAGGGTGGGTGCCGCAGGGAAACAAACCCCGTACCTCTGATTCTCCAGACGTCCAGTGGTTAGCGCAAGACGACGTGTGCAGACGGGCGGAACTGCTCGGCACTGATCCCGCGAGCGCCACGTGCGAGAAGGGTTGGAAGAGAGGGATCTAATCTCCTGCCAGACAATGATGTCCAAAATATGTCCACGGCGTTTCCGCGTACCGCATCGGACATTCCGAACCGAGGATGATGTAACCAACTTAAGCGCCCTCCAAAGAACGTAAAGGCTGAATTTACGTTAGGGTATTGTATTGAACGTCATTGGAAGGCACTGCGCACCTTCCCTAGCCATTTTTCCAGATGTTCTGCTCAGGCCAAAGCTGGCCTGCATGGAGCGGCTCAGACGGCAGACATGGAAGCCTGTACAGTGTGTTCCGAGCTGGCAAAAATCGTTGATGGTATTTGATAATGTCCGTCGTTGGCGGACTTCATCAAATAAGCGGATTTTCTCGGCGCTGTAGCGTATGTCGATGACTGACACATGTCATCGACTTAATGTCGGTCAGGGAGTCGGTGGCTATGAACGCGCGCGATTTGAGGCCCGCTTACGGACATGATAGTAGCATCCTCAGAGCTTCCAAGACCGTTCATGTGACGCCCAGAACACGGCCTAAAACCCTGCAGCAGGTAGGAACTCCAAGTGGGAAGTGCCCAGCGCATCGCGACTGCCGGTCTGCCAATGCGACACAATGAAAGAAGATTATGAACGCGGTTGTTTTTCCCGCCTCTGAAGCGCGCTCCGCGTCTCTGCCGACAAGCCGGCCACGCTCCGTGCGTAGCCGGAAGTGTCGGGTGGTGCGCCGAGCGCCGCCGCCGCGCCGCGCTCGCCGCCGCGTCGCGCTCGCCGCCGCGTCCGCGCTCCCCGCCGCAGCAGCCAGCCTCGCAGGCCGCCATTGCGGACGCGCTGTGCGGACGGTGTTGAATAGCTGACGGGCCGTGGAGCGGCCGCTGCTGGCGACAGGGCGCTGCACGCTGCCCAGGCCGTCCGTCTCTGTCGGCCGGCCGTCTCGCGCCCCGCCCGTGCCCGGCGCGCTGTGGGAGCCGGCCGGACCGTTGTCACCCTCTCCGGCCGGCCGGCCGGTGAGCGGGACATCCGTCACGCGCCGTGACGCGCGGGACGTCCGTCACGCGCTGTGACGCGCGGGCTCGCGCGCTCGCGTGGTGGAGAGACGTCGGTCCCGGAGAGCGGGACCTTGTTGCTGTTGGTTGATGAACATAGTGCACAGGTACTGGAGGCCGTTATGGGGTGTTTGATGGTTACACATGTGTGCGAGCATACCTTGTATCTATTTGCCGGTGGAAACAAACCATGGACACCTACCGGAAGCTCGGCACTTCCGGTTACACCTAGCATGTTGATGTGCCAGCAACTGAGCAGTGCCGGGCATCGGCACGTTTCCATCCCTAGCTGCGCCACTCGGAAACCTCCAGCCTGGACCTAGGCCCCAGGTGGGGCGCATGTTTCCAACGCCCACTTTCAAGGCAGCTTTACGACCCCACGTGCGGTAAGTAAGTGCTCCCGTCTCCGGCGCGTCCACTATCCATAATGCACAGGGAGCCCGAGCTGGGCCCGGTCGGCACGTGTACCCACGTGCTGGCCGTCTTCGTAAACCGCTCCGACTCGGCCGTTAGAGGCGGCGTCGCCATCGAACCGGTCGGCCGAGGGGCGCGACGTGGCCTCTCCGGGCGGCCGGCGGCCGGCGCGCGGCGACGCGCCTGAATTATTGAGCACGCCGCGGCCCGTCCCCGGCGCCGGCCGCGGCCGCCTCCGGCGCCTGGCCGCCGCCGCGGACGGCGCTGGGGACGGGCCGGGTCACGGCGCGGCGCCGCTCCCACGGCCCAGCCATGCGTGTCACGTTGTGACGTGCTCCGGGCCGACCTGGCCCGGCTCCGAGCGGAGCGGGCCGGGTCGGGCGCGAGCGGCGCCCCGTCTGCGCTCAACGCCGACCTTGGGAGGAGCCGGAGGCCGCGCCGGCCAGCCCTGCCGGCGACGCCGCGGCGCCGCCAACGGTGTGGCGCCGTTTTCCGCGATGTCGTTGGTGGTCTGCGGCTGCGAGGGACGCTCGTGCTGCGGCGGAGACGCCGGAGGGTGGCCCCGACGCAGCACGAGTGGCACACCAGGAAGGTGTCGCGTTTTGGACGCGCTGTTCACGGCTCGTCGGACGGGTCGCAGGTAGCGTCGGTAGCGAACCTCGCCGCCGCGGCTCCGAGCCGTGCCAGTTCGGAGCTCGTGTCCGTTCCCCGGCCGCGGGGCCGGCCTGGGCTGGGCTGGGCTGGGCTGGGGCTGGGCTGGGCTGGGCTGGGCTGGGCTGGGCTGGGCTGGGCTGGGCTGGGCTGGGCTGGGCTGGGATGGGCTGGGCTAGGCCGGGCCGGGCCAGGCCGGGCCGGGCCGGGCCGGGCCGGCCTTGTCTCACAGGAGCGTCGATGCCTCGCGTCCCGCATCGCGCCGTCGGCCCGTCGGCGAGCGGCGCGTGTGTGCGGCGGCTTTCTCTTTCCCAGCGCGCGACCGTGACCTCCCTGGCGGCCGGCCGGTGGCGCCTCTGGCGGCCGCCGGCCGAACCGCCGGCCGCCTCGCGGCCTCATTGCCATTCATGGGAGCCCGGGGGTGAGCGACGCGACCGGGCGGTGCTGCACGGCAGCCGGCAAATGACGCGGCCCGTGACAGTGGCACGCTGCCCGAAAGCTCCTCTCTCTCAATACGGTGGTTGGTCGGGAGCCGGCGGCCAGGGATTAGCCATCAGCGCTTGGAATCAATCGCGGAGAAGAGCTCCGCCGCCGCTGATTGGGCTGGCTCGCGTGGTCGGGATCGCCGAGCGGTTTCCGTTCTCACAAACAAGTCGTCAGCGTGTCGTGCGAGGCGCTCATTTGTTCTCGCCTGAGTGTCGTTTCGGTTATGACGGTGGTGCATGTGAGGGGGTAATGCACCAACTGGTCCCGGTTCTGCATTGTTTTGTTCTCTCTCTCCCATCCCCCCCCCCCCCCCCAGCCTCTCCCTCTCCATTCTGTCTGCCTTTCGCCTATCCCTATTTTCTCTCGATGTTGTCAATGGTCTGCCTGTACGAAACGGGAGCCAGACCCTGGTCTGCAGCCAGACCTGTCCGCCGCGAGGGCGGGGATGTGTGGATGTCGCCGCAAGCGTCCCGCTGAATTAACCAGGAGTTGCCGCGGATTACCGTTGCCGAAGCCGGGCCCCGAAATGCCTGCACGTCTGTCGGCATCGAACGATTGCTAGCAGCAGGCTGTCTGGAAAAGCTCCAACCCTCTTGATACCCCCCCCCCCCCCCCTTCCCCTCCAATCTCACACAGCACGCGAGGCCGGAAGCGGACCGTGCGTCCTGCGGGCGCCCCCGCCGCGCCGGAGCCGCCGCGCGATCGGCGGCGGCGGCGGCGGCGGCGGCGGGTGGCGCGGTGAGGGCGACGATCGGAGCCGCGTGCCAGCGCCGGCCGCGCCCCACCCCGCCCGAAATACAGCGGGCGCGGCGGGCGCGTCGCGCTCGCTCCCGCGGCCGGGCAGCACGACGGCCGGGCTCCAGTGGCGCTGCGGTGGAGCGGCGGTGGCGCGTGCCGAGCTTTCGCGGCGCGTCTCCTGACGGGACATGGGCAGCGGCGTGTCCGAGCCCCCGGCGGTGCCGCACCACCCCCGACCTGATCAGGATCGAGGTAACTGGACGGGAGCGCTGGGCCGTTGGTACGCACCAATGGTGCCGTCATGCGTTGCTGCGCCAGCGGTCTGTTGGTGTACTGGTGCCCTAGCGGTCGGTGGTCCAGTGATCCGCTGGTGTAGTGGTGTGAGAGTTCGTTGGTGCGCTGGTGCGTCTGCGGGTAAAGAAGTCAACAGGTTGCGCGCATTTGTCACACCAGAGTTTCACTGCTTTGAAGGTCGTTTTTTATAAGTGGATGCGGCAGGTTGCGATTTATTGTTTGGGATGCCAGATATCGCGGCGGTCGCCTGAGCGCACGTGGCATGGTGCGCTCGAAGCTCGAGTTTGGGCCCTCAGCGCGAGAGCCACGGCCCAGCCGGTGGGCCAGTGGAGCAGTGCTTGTTAGATTGATCATTAGCATCAAATTGGCTCTATCACATGACGGTCGAAACATTTTGTTATTTCTGGATCAGCAGTATTTACGATCTTGATATATCGATATGTGATATCTCGCCCCTTCCCGATAGTTCCCGGCACATGACAGGTCGTGTTTTTCATTGTTGACCAGCGATATCATCAGTGATTTACTGTCATTATCATTGGAACGCACATATCACTGTCATTGGAACGTACACATCACTATCATTGCATACATCGGAACGGCAGGAGCTTAAGGCCGGTCTTAATTACATCAACCGCGATCAATGGATCGACCGCTCCAGCAGGGGCCCATTAGAGTATGAGCTCAGCAGCGCTTCACCGCCCCAGCGTCAGTGGACTGGTGCCACACGTGTCCATCGGTCCCGTACTCAATCACCGGCCCACTGGGGCTGGCGCACGTCTGGGCCAGTCTTCCGGACCACTTCCGCGCGCCACGACCCCTTCCGCTCGGCCGGCGTCGCTCACGGGCGCCGCTCACCTCCTGTCCGTGTCCGTGTCCGTGTTCGTTGCCCGGATCGTGGCCGTGTTCTGGACCTGGCCGGGGCGGAGGGCTGCTTGTCTCGTGGGTTGTCGGGGCGGGGCGCGGCCAGCGCTCGGCCGGCGTCGTTGGGGACTGCCCCGGCGGCGAGCCCACCGCTGCGCGGTCGTTCAGTGGGCGCCGCCGGCCGCCTTCCGTACTCCGTTATTGGGTTATGCACCAGGGTTTGGCCAGTCCTGTGTCTTCGGCTGAAGTTCCGCTCCGGACATTAATGGCCGGCTGTCTCAAGAGCGACGCCCAGCCATTCTCGGAAAGGCACCAGAGCCTGTAATGGCTCGAAGGCTGGTTACTGCGAGTTAGCAGTAAATCACTGCTGTAGGAGCAGTTGGACCCTGCGACTCCTGGGATGTTTTGCGTTAACTGCGTGGCAACGTAGTGCACATTTATGATCATATTAAATGATGGAGCGCAGATGCTGCGGCCGCCGACTAGAACGGCTTGTGCACCCAACAAGAGTTTTTATGACAGTCAAGTGTTATGGATGGAGGATGTGGGGTTCCAGACAGAGACTTTTACATGGTATACAGGTGAAGAGAATCCCGTTGCTTTATGCCGTTTGATGCCACCAGCTAACAAATTCTTCGCTTCTACCATGCATGTGGCATCGACGTGCGGGTTGTGCTACCATGGTAAGATTCGATAATATCGCGTAATTTTCCCTACTACGTAAGTCTTCACTTGCATCACATGCTTCGAAGCGACCTTGACTCTCACCAGCTGTCCAACGCCGACCAACCCTGACGCAATCGCGCGCCCCGTTCCAGCTGTCCAGCACAGAGAAGGCGCAGGAGAGCAACCAGCTGAACGGCATCATCGAGTCCAACACCGTGTACGTGACGTCGGTGCCGTCGCTGAGCGGTGGATCGCAGCGCGAGAACGCGCCGGAGCGGCAGGCCTCTAGCGGCGGCCAGGACTCGCTCGACGCCTCCGGCGAGCTCGAGCTGAACCAGGAGCTGCGACCGCGCGCCGCCACCGTGGTGGAGGTGACGCCCGAGGGCGGCGAGGCTGGCCGCCGGCGCAGGTCGCAGCGGCGCGCCGTCGAGGCCGCCGACGCGATGGCCGGCCGCTGCGGCGTGAACGGCGCCGCGCCGGCCGAGGCGGAGGATCCGCAGCGCGCCAGCGGCAAGTTCAAGAACAAGGTGTTCATCTCGCACAATGACAGCAAGCGGAGCAGCAAGGAGAGCCTGAGGTGAGTGTCGAGGGGGGTCAAGGAGAGCCTGAGGTGAGTGTCGAGGGGGGTCAAGGAGAGCCTGAGGTGGGTGTCGAGGGGAGTCAAGGAGAGCCTGAGGTGAGTGTCGAGGGGGGGTCAAGGAGAGCCTGAGGTGAATGTCGAGGGGGGTCAAGGAGAGCCTGAGGAGGGTGTCGAGGGGGGTCAGGGAGAGCCTGAGGTGAGTGTCGAGGGGGTCAAGGAGAGCCTGAGGTGAGTGTCGAGGGGGGTCAAGGAGAGCCTGAGGTGAGTGTCGAGGGGGATCAGGGAGAGCCTGAGGTGGGTGTCGAGGGGGTCAAGGAGAGCCTGAGGTGGGTGTCGAGGGGGTTCGAAGAGAGCCTGAGGTGAGTGTCGAGGGGGATCAGGGAGAGCCTGAGGTGGGTGTCGAAGGGGGGTCGAGGAGAGCTTGAGTTGGGTGCCGAGAGGGGGGGTCAAAGAGAGCCTGAGGTGAGGGTCGAGGGAGTCCAGGAGAGCCTGAGGTGAGTGTCGAGGGGGTCAAGGAGAGCCTGAGGTGGGTGTCGAGGGGGTCAAGGAGAGCCTGAGGTGGGTGGGGGGGGGGGGGTCAAGAAGAGCCTGAGGTGAGTGTCGAGGGGGGTCAAAGAGAGTCTGAGGTGAGTGTCGAGGGGGTCAAGGAGAGCCTCAGGTGAGTGTCGAGGGGGTCAAGGAGAGCCTCAGGTGAGTGTCGAGGGTGTCAAGGAGAGCCTCAGGTGAGTGTCGAGGGGGGGGGGGGGGGCGTCAAAACGATACAGCAAGGAAAGCCTCGGGTGAGTGTCGAGGAGGAAGGGGGGGGGGGGTCACGCGGTGTGGTGGAGTTGACGCTGTTGTGATGGGCTTGATATCGTAGGGAGAAAAGCTCGTGGTTTGGGAAAACCAATCACAATGCAATCAGAAGTTACGTGTGTTGGACGTGCTGGCGGACGTGGATTGGGAGGGTTTGTTGCTTTGGGGACTTTTTTTCCCCAAATTTCCCCAAAGCGGCACTGTGAGCCCACCATCAACATTCTGTGCGGTCATATTAGTAAGTTGCTGGCACATTTCTAGGAATGCGAGACTGCGACCTAGATGGTATCCGCGCGGGTTCTCAATGAATTGTCCGTATATTGCAGACGATATTGCGTTTTGGTTGGAACTGTTGCTAATCGCACGGGTCCACAGTAGCGCGAATCGAGCAGCCCGTTGTTGTCGAGTGCCTTCTGCCAGATGTAATGCCGCCGCGGGAAACGCCGCTTTCCGTCAGTCAGCAGGCCACGTCAGTCAGTCAACATGACTCAGTCAGCCAACAAGCCCCAGTCAGTCAACAAGCCGCGTTTTGCCGAACGTGTCGCGCGGGGTGAGACACATTCGCCATGCGCTCGCGTTTTGTAACCACTTGCAGTGATTCATGCCTGGACTTAACGATAAGGGCGATTGGCTGTAAAGTGTCCAGTCGCCCGCTACGATGCTGCCGGCGACCTAGACTGGATTACACTGCAGAGCGCTGCTGTGTGTCCCACCCGGCGCAGAGAGCTCACCCATGGCGGGCCTGATTCACTCGGGTATCTGACCTGATAGCGTGGCGCCGGTGGACACGGCCCTCCGGCCGTCCCGTGCTGCCGTCCCCTATCAGCGGGCCAGCGGTGCTTTATCGGCGGTGGCGGGTCCGACAACGGCCGTCGCGGGCGGCGACAGTGAGCGCGTCGCTCCCGGCGGAAGCGTTGGACGCGGAGTCCGTCAGTCGATGTGGTCGGAGCGGCGCCGCCGTTCTGTTCCGGGAGGGCGCGGCGGCGGGTACAGTGGGCTGACCCGCGGGGCACGTCTCGGTCGAGCCGGAGCGAGAGAGACACTGCGCGGCTGTGCTCCGTCGCGTCCCAGCTCGGGAGACGCCGTGCTGTCAGGCTTAGCTGTGCACCGAGTGAGAGAGCGGGAGAGAGGAGCGAGAGCGCGCCAGGGGCAATCGTGCTGCAGGGCTCAGATGTGCGGCGACTGAGAGGAGCCGTCTGGCCGCCCGCATCGCAGCGCGTGATTGACAGCGACGCCTCGGCGGGCGACTTGGCACGTCGGCGTTGACGGGTGCGCGCGGTGGCACTGCCGGGCGCCGCTCTTGGCACGTGTGACGTGACGCGCCAGCGCCGGCGCCCGGCGAGCCCTACACGGCGGCGGGGAGGCCCACCGCGGCCCGGCCGAGAGCCGGGGACGACCGCGAGCGGCGGGCCCGTCCCGGCCAGCGTCGGGGTCGGCCGGCAAGAGAGGGGCGTGATGAGGCCGGGTCGCGTGAGCGTGCAGTAGCGCTCCGGGCAGCGGCGTCGCGGCCCCGGACGGACCGGAAAGAGTGAGTGCGGGGAGTGCGGAGCGGCGGAGCGGCGCCGGCGCCGCGTGCCGGGCGCGTCTCGTGTGTCGACGGGCGTGATGGCGGCGGCCGGCTCGTGCTGGGACTGGTGGCCGACCGCGCTGACGGCGCAGTGCTGTTACAGCTCCCACAAGTCGAGCCGGACGGCGAGCAGCGGCGGCGGTCGCAGTCGTGCTGGCAGCGTCGAGCAGCTGCAGCTGGAGGCCGTCATGAACCAACTGGACCGCGGCCCGCACCGCGAGATGGCCGTGGACGTGCCCGAGTCGTTCGTGGCGCGCACCAAGACGCCGCCGCGCTACCCACCGCCACGCGCCGCGGCCGCGGCCGCCGTTCCCGGCGCGCGGCCGGCGAACGGCGCGGCGCGGTCGGAGCCGCCGGCGCGCGAGGCGCCGGGCACGCCGACCGAGCCGCCAGCGCCGGCGCCGCGCCCCAGCCTGGATCGCAGCCGCGGCAGCAGCACCACCAGCCGCGACTCGGAGCCGAGCCGCGAGCAGATGGAGCGCATCAGGAAGTACCAGGTGAGGAGGAGCGGAGCGGCTGAAGGAGGAGGGGGGGGGGGGGGGGGGCACTGAGGTGGCAGTAGGGATGGCAGGGCAGGCGTCATGTAAGGATCTTTTGCAGAGCGCTTGCCAAGAAAGGTGAGAATGACAGATCAGTGGGAATGCCTTGCGTTTAGGTGTTACATGCTAGTGTATGTTCGCGCGAGTATGATGTGGCCAAACAATTCATGGTATTTCCGCGAGGCTCGCTCTCTTAGGTTTAAGCATGACTTCTCACAGTCATGAAAGTTATGAGTGCTGTTTTATCGTAACTCCGCATGAAACATGAATGTCTAGTTGTCACGCCTGTGCAAATTTACTGTTTTTTCTTCATCCAGTGTGAGTTGCGGTTGTCGTCATCGTTGTAAGAGATTTTATGTAGTCGTGTCCTCTCCCGTGAGGATGCTACCTTTCACGTCGAATGGTTCCGACCGTCAGCCGTTTTTGCAACTGCTCGCTTGATACTGTCCGACAAAGTTCAACGAGTGCCCTTTCAAGGATAGCACTCATCGACCTTCGTGTGTGTGTGGGGGGGGGGGGGGGGCTGGCGGGGTGACGCACCGATGGCGCAGGTGTCCCCCGGCGGGCCGCCGTGCCACTGTACCTCCCTCAAACAAAATATTGCTGCGCCACCAACAAGGGTCCCATAGACGCGCACATTCACCGGCCCCGGTACGGCAGCTGGCTGCTGGTGTGCACTGCGCTGGCCGGCGCGGCGAACCCAGCTGGGTGCTGATGTGCGATCTGCAGTATCTTGTACGTACCGTCTGCAGTATCTGCTCGCGTTGCCACCGTTCCACTTACACTACGACTTAGAAAAGGCAACCGCCAACAGCATACACTCGCTGTGTAGGAAAGCTGTATCTCTGCTAAGCAGGCCAGCCGCTGCATTCTTGACATATCAGTGCGCGAAAGGTTGGCTGCAAAAGCGGACTAACGCTTTATCAGCCCTCCGCCAAACCAAAGCAGCCTGTGTCGTACAGAAGGCACGTGTAGCTATGTACTCGATTGGAACATTCCGCGGAATACAAAGTAGTCTTTGCTGAGACGCATACCCTCGCAAAACGTGCCTTACTTTGATTCGCTCCAAAAACACAGTACATCCGCCGCCTCGACACTTCATCGCGGTATGACTCCCTTACGGGAGCACAGCCGGCCTCACACCCGGAAGCAGGGCAGTCGCACCGTCCTCCGGTACCCTCACCACCTACTTTGACCTGCGCGCGCAGTCCCGGAACCCCGCCGCCACAACCCCTTCACCAGCGGAGTCGGCAGACGGCAATAGCCTAGGGCCGCGCGCGCTTGTGATCACCGCGGCGGCCGGCCGCGTCGGCGGCGACCCGCCCGGGGCGCGGCCCGCGAGCCGCGCCGTCGCTGACCGAGCGCGGACGGCGGCGGCGCTCCGTCGGCCGCCGTCGGCCGCCGTCGGTCGCCAGAGACGGCCGTCGGCGCCGGCGCCGACGGACGCGCCGGGCGTGGGCGCGCGCGCTGCGCCGGGTCTGCCGCGGCGGCTGCGCGCGTCACGATCGCCGACCGGCCGGCCGGCCGCGCGGCCGTGGTCTGCAGCGCGCCGGGAACTGGTTTGCCGCGCCGGCCGCGCCGCCCGCGCCCGCACTCTGCAGCGGCGGGCGGAGGACGTCGCAGCGGCCGCCGCTACCGTCGCTGCCGCCGCGACCGCCGCAATAGCCGACACAGTGACGCGAGGCCGCGCCGACGGGGACGCTCACGGTGACGCGTCCCGCCCAGTGACGCGCCGCTCGGCGGCAGTGACGCGCTCGGCCGCGCCGGTGGCGCCGCGCCCGCGCCCTGGCGACCCGTCACCGGACGCGCGAGTGTGTGCTGAGATCGTCCCGAGTCGCCGCTCGCAGCGAGGGGCGGCGGCCCCAGCTATGCGCGTGTGACGCACGCCCGTCTTCGGTGATCGACAGCGCCGCCGTCGCGCAGTGACCGGCGTCGGCGGTGGCCAGTGACCGCAGTGACGGGGAAGCCATCGGAGCGTGCTCAGCGCGTGACGCCATGTACAAATTCCAGGAGGACATCCGGCGCGACCGGGAGATGCGTGAGAAACGCTCCAAGGAGGAGGAGTTCCTGCGCTCGTCGCTGCGAGGTAGCGAGAAAATGAAGCGGCTCGAACAGAGGCCTGCACCCACCGGCTTTGTGAACAATGGCTATGACGCGCACGGGCCAGAGCACGCGACCGCCGCCGCCGGTGGCATAGGTAAGCGCACCGCACTGACACCTCGACCTCCATCCCAGCGACCTTGACACCCGTGGGAGCGGCGCGGCTGCGGCCGGCGCGGCGCCAGGACGGGCCCGACCGCGGCCCGCTGCCAGGTCGCCGCCGGCGCGGAGCACCGTGTTTTGCGCCGGCGATGGGAGCGCCGGGGTGGCGCAGTGGCTCTCTGCGGGAGCCGCCTGCGCGCGTCTGCTGCTGGCTTCCGGGACGGCTGGTGGGCTGCCATGACGGCGGACCACCCGGAGCGGGGGCGGTCCGTGCGCCTGTCTCGTTTCCCTGGGTAGGGACGCCCGTGCAGGCTGGGCCGCAGCTGCGGCTCTGTTGCCCAGGTGGGCGGAGCCCCTCCCCCTGCCATGTCCCAGCGTCCCCCTCCCCCGATCCCCGGTCGGAACCGCACCGGTCTCGCATTGGTGTGACGTGTAATTTGGCAGCGGGCCAACGTGCCCGCCGCCGCCGCTGCTGCTGGCCGGCTGATTCTGCAAATACCGCCCCTCGTCCACCATCGGCACCCGTTAAGAACTGGTTCTCGCTGATGCCTGCCGGTCGGTCGGCGCCGTACCGAGTCCGGCGTCACGTGCTGCTGACGCCTACCATGCTGGTGGCCCTGGGGAGCGCGGCTTAGCGGCTCCCTCAGAGAGATGAGTCAGACTGGGCCGCGGAAGCCCACGGTTCTCGGAGGAAAGTCCGCGGCACCCGCGTCTCGCCCGCCAGCCGGCCGTTCACGGGGATGAAGGCAGAGGGACGGCCGTCTGCTGTTTGGATACGGCTAGCCAATGGAGAGGATGATATTGGTCGGCACGGACGGGCGGCGCCGGAGCCGCCTTTGTTACCCGCGTCGCTTATGGTGTGGGGTCTGGGGTGACAGCCGGTCGCCGCATAAAGGTGTTAATCGCCCCCAGTGCCAGCCCGTTAGACCAGGGGTTTCCAATTTTAGCAGGTATTGCCCGTATGATTTGCGAGCGTCCGACCCAAGCATCTATCGGAATCGTAGGAACCAGTTCTAAGCTGCGGTTCTTGTCAGCTAGGGCGCGCGCTGCCCGCAAATTTCAGTTTTGTTTTTGTCACGTGGGGCGAAATGAAGTTACGTTAAATTCGGTTACGTAATGGTCAGTTACGAACTTCAACATCCTTGTGTAAATTTGTAACCATAAACTAAACGCCGTAACTAACTGTGGTGGTCTGTTGAGCATAGCTTCACGTCAATGGGCGGCCGGACAACGTACCTCCGGAGAGCCTTAGTCTTGTGACCGAACGGTGGGATGGAGACGCGCCAACAGCCGAGAGACACTGCGTCCCTCGTGCATTTTGACCTCGAGGAACAATGTGTTCATATATCTTGCGAACCAATCGACCGCACGGCGAATAATCTCAGTGTGGGAGCTTGTCAATATCAGCTACTTTCATCTGCCCACCGAGCATCGGGGCATACGGGCGTCGTACTGCTGCGCGACTTTGGGCCTGGTCTCAAAGGGAAACGTCGAGCTATTTTGGGGCCGGTGTGCGCTTTGGCATCGCAAGCTAAGCTTGCACATTCGCCATGTAGGCGCCGGGGAAAAACTTAAGCCTCCCGCGATGATACCTGGTTGAGACTTGGATGCAGCGAAGAGCGTGACTTGCACAACGTACTCGCTGCTTTGCAGACATCGCAGCTTCACCTGGATCTATCGCCTAGGCGTGGCATAGTTGTGAGAGGGTACCCACCGTGTTTATATGTGCTCATTTCAAAGAACGTTTCATGTTCAGGCTACAACTACAGAACTTTGAGGCAAGCGCGTTCAGTTTATTTTTCAGCATTGCAAAGCTTGTACCGCAGTCATTTGCGGAGGTTGAAAGGGGTCGTCTAACACAGGTGGCGCGTCCCTTTGCTAGTTTCCAGTGAAGCACTTACGGAATTGTATTCCGTTTGGGCTGGGCCTGGCCGTTTAAGCTCGTAATTTTGCGCTAGATAAGGTGACACTCCGTCGTCACGCGACCTCGCTGACAGTGAAATTGCAGCGATCATCGTGGAGTATATATCGACATACACGGGCCGGCGATGACGCCATCACGCACTCTGTGTGCCTCGGGACTGGCGTCACGCACTCTGTGTGCCTCGGGACTGGCGTCACGCACTCTGTGTGCCTCGGGACTGGCGTGGTGTTGCGTGATGGCCGTTAGCCGACGCGCCCTCCCGCCTGATCGCGCATCACTTGGGCCCGCTGATGCGCCGCAGTTCGTGATTGCGATGACGAGCGTGTGTCGGCGTCGGCGTCGCGAGTGCGAGGCGCTTTCCCGGAAAGTGGTGGGAACGGGAACATAACACTTTCACGGTAGGCATGACTAGTGTGGTCTCCTGCGACGTTCGCGCAGTGAAGCGAGTAACCATTCGTCTTGAATAATACGTTGGCCTGTTTTCCTCTCGTGTGGGAGCTATTTCCAGCATGAGTCTCATCTTTTCGGCCCCGGAGCTCACAACTTTCATTTGCAAACAATATGAGGTGGCAGTATATGAGCTCTGCGAAATTGAACAAGTGGTCTGCTTCAGCGACGAATAGGCAGCCAACTCGGACCAATGCGGGCACGGCGGTCCGGCGGGGACTGCGGATTATAACATTGGGCGCCCGAGTGGACGCCCGCCCTGTCACCGTCCTTGGGTGATATCACCGCGCGAGGGATCGCACTCCTGGTGTTTAGTCACGCGCTTTGCCACACACCACACAGCGCTTGTTTCCATCGGGTCATATAGTGCGTACTGATTGGGGGGTTGAATGCCCGTGACGTGTACCGGGCTGTACCGATCGGTTTACATTTTGACACATTTGACTTAGCACAAGTAACCGGGAGATGTGAGCTTTATGCGCGGGACCCTCCCCTCTTCACATGTGCCGCGTCACTCCCCATCAGCGGGTTGTCCCCGCTCCACCCTTGTTGACATTTCTATCGACCGAGAGCAGCGTTCCGAGCGGGCGGCTCGAGCTCTGCGGCCGGCCGTCTCCGCCGTGGCCCCGGTCCGTCGGCGGGGAGCGGTGCCGGCGCCCTCCGTACCGCCAGTGCGGCTATCTCCCGCCCGGCCCGAGACACTGGGGCGGCCCGATAAGGCGCCGTTCACGAGCGCCAGTCGTTAACATTCCTCGCGGCGGCGCGCCACGGCCGGCGTCTCTTGTCGGGCGCGCTGGACGCTGGTGCTGGTGCTGGTGCTGGACGCTGGTGCTCGGCGCCGGACGAAGTCACGGTGTGAGGACACGGTCACGCGCGTGCTGACGGACAATTGGGCTCAGTTGCGGACGGATGGACGGTGGCAGCGTAAATCAGGGGTGCGCCTGGAAGTACAGTACCCTGATCAAAAGGGTCACGCTCCCGGGAGTTTCCGCGTGCCGGCGTTCAGTTTCACCGTTGAAATCGGCGCGAGGAATGATAATGCTAATGGCCGCAGTGATCACTCACGTGACTCGATAATCGGGTCTCCGCCCGAGAACGGCAGCCAGTGACAGATTTCCGGCAGCGGGCGAGAGGACTGGGTCTGCCAGACTGGTGGATGCCGCGAGGCGCTGTCCGTGGTATGACTGCCTCATCGCGCGGGAAGATCTGAAACCCAGGACTCCCAGAGAATCTAAATACCTCAGCCCGAGCAGGTTTCATTGGCACGTCTTCCGGCTCTTCCCTCGTCTGTACAGAGACACGCCACGCGTCCACCGCTCCCTGCGCTCTCCCTGCCCACCCCGCTCTCGCCCCGTCGGGCTCCGCCCCAGCCCGTCCCGTGGTCGCCCCCACCCTCCTATCCCGACCCGCCTGCAGGCCGTACCTCGTCTGCACGGTACCGGCGCGACTAACGGCACGGCCGGCGCGGCCCAGCGCCACGGGGCACGCCTGCGCATGAGCACGCTGCACGCGCCGTCTGCTGCCCGAGCACAGCCCGAGCATCGCTCAGGCAGGACCCGAGCCTCGCCCAAACGTCGCCCGAGCAGGGTGCGCCGTTGCGCGCGCGGTCGAAGGCATGTGCCCGTCCCCGGCGACGCGGCTGGACCGACCGTCCCGCGGTGCGGCCCGCGACCGATCGGCATCAGTCGACGGAGGAATGTGGGGGACGCCAGCGACCGGTGCACGCCCGGTGGACGGCTGGTGGACGGCTGGTGTGGGTGCGTGCGTGCGTGCGTGCGTGCGTGCGTGCGTGCGTGTCATTGGGGCTTTACGACGCACTCAGCTGCTGAGGCTGTATGGCGTCGCCTGCCTCTCACCCTGGCAGGAAGGGCGGGCACCGCGGGGTGGACGGCTGGTGGACGGCCGGAAGACTCCCGGTGGACAGCTGGTGGACGGTGAGGTGGCGCTTGTGCAGCGCGGAGCCGCCCGCACGGCCGTGTGTGTTTCTCGCGCCGAAGGACTTTTTTCGCGCCGCGCTAATGAGTCAGCGCGACTCCAACGCTCTTGAAGACCGGTCCTGGGGGCGGCTGTTTGGCTTGATTTTGAGAGTAAGGGCCTGTTCTGTTCCGCCGCTGTGCGTTAGCTTATCCAAAGGTCTTGATATTTAGGGCACTGGCGACGGGATGTTTTTCGTTGCACGTCCGACACTCGGCTGCCGTAGTGTACTCGGGCCGGTGCCGGCGCTGGTTTCGCGTCTCGCGGCCGTCTGGGCCGCTGCGTCAGCCTCTCCCATTAGTAAAGTGGACCTCTCCAACACCAACGCACTCGCCATTCGGGAGCGGGCTGCCACAGCCAAAGCCGACCTTGCCAGACGCTCCGTCTCCGGTGGCGGCGGCGGGCTGCCCGAGGCCGTCGTGCCGCCCGGCGGCTGGAGGCGGACGGCGCAGGCACGGCGCTGCGTTGCCACCCTGCAGCGGCGCGCTCCGCAGCCTTTGTCCTGCGCAGAGTCAGCTGAAGCTGGTGGCTGGGGGCGGACGGCGCAGGCACGGCGCTGCGTTGCCGCCCTGCAGCGGCGCGCTCTGCAGCCTTTGTCCTGCGCAGAGTCAGCTGAGGCTGGCGGCTGGTGCGAGCCGGGCGGCCCGCCAGCGTCCGGCGGGCTGCAGTCAGGCAGGGAGGAGGCGCCGATGATGACCTGTAGAGGGCAGAGCGTGCACGGGGGATGACCTGCAGAGGGCGGGAGGATGCGCCGGGGTGAGGAGCACAGGCGAGGGGAGGTGCAGCAAATGCACCCAGGACGGACGGTCGAGGTTGAGGTTGAGGTTGAGGTTGGGTTGCCAGGTGGAGGAGGGATGGACGGTGCTGACTGTGGATGCGGTGGTACGGACACTCAGGAAAGCTCGGCGTTTGTAGCGGACGGTGCTCTTCGGATATGATGAGCGGAAACATTGCACGCTGCGAGCATCCCAGAGACGGCCAGCCGTCAATCATCACCGGGCGCCTCCCCCCGCCCACCCCACCCCACCCGTACCCGTCAGTCCACCCGGTTCTCATCTTACTCTCCCTTTTACGCCGGCCGGGCGTTCCTGCGGTGACGGTGTCGCCGCCGCCGCCCGGCCCCACCGCTGCCGGGCCGCCGGCCTGGCCAGCGGCGCGTGAATGCCGGCTCGACGGTGGGCGCGGGGCTGGAGGCGGGCCGGCCGCGGTACCGTTGGCCGCCACACCGGGCGGCGGCGGTCGCGGCCAGTCGCGCCGCGCCGTTCGGCCGGTGCTGGGCCCGCGGTGACGCGCAGGGCGCCGGGCGCCGGCAGCGCTCTGTGACGTCACAGGAGCCCACGCTGACGGCGGCTCCTCCCCGGGCGGCGAGACGTGAGTACCGCACCGCCGCCGCCGCCGAGACCTCGACGCCAGGCCGGGCCGGTGGCGCGCTCGTGGTTGCCACGCCTCCGAGAGGGAAGGGTTTGTTTTGTTTCGGTCCTGTCCTCCGCACGGGTCCGTTGGGAGGCTGCGGCGGATAGCGGACTACCGTGCCCGCCTCTCGGTGCTGCTCTGGTGGCTGAGAGTGCTTATGGACCGCCTGTCCAGTGGCGGCCAATGTCACTGGACGGCAGAGACGCGCGTCACCTGGCTATGATTGTCGGCGTCACCGGACGGCAGGGGCTTGCTGGGCCGTCCCGGTCGCTCCCCTCCCCCCCCCCCCCCCCATCTGCCCTCGCTGGTGCCGCCTGTCAATCAGACCGGTCCACACAACGCATTCTCGCGAGCGCGCACGCCGCCCGCGTCACTGCCGCCGCCGCCGCCGCCGCCGCCATCGCCGCCGGCTGCCTCGTAACCGGTTTTTGTACGGCCAGCATTAGAGTGAGCCGAACGCGGGCCGTATACGAGGTGCGGCCGGCGGGAGAAGCAGGGAGGCTGCTGGCGGTGGCGGCGCGCCCGCCGCTGCCTTGTTCTGCGCTGACGCAGGCGGCGTGTGTTGGCGTTGGAAGGTCGGGTGGGACGGGGAAGCGGGGGGGGGGGGGGGGAAGTGACGGCGGAGGACAGCAAGTGACCTGAACATTTATCGGTGACTGAGCCAGATCGCAGAGGCTGGGGCGAGGCACTGGCGGCCGCTGCGATGTCGCTGAGGCGGGGCAGCAGACGCGGGAGGCGCCCGACGCCGGAGGAGCCCGACCTCGCTGCGCCGGCTCGGCGATGAGCGATGGGAGCCGGGCGTGGACGGCTGCCGCGGCCAGCGCGTCAGGCGATCGCTCGGCCACGGCCCGCGCGCCGCACGCACGGCGCCGCATTGTTCTCGCGGCGGGACGGCGCCGCGCGTGGCCGGCGCCGGCAGCCGGGGCACGGCCGACCGGCGCCGGTGGTCGGCCTGTGTCAGCGTGTGCCAGACGGCGCCGGCTCGCCCGGCCGCACGGCCGCTCTGGGGCCTCCATTTGGCCATCCTCGGACCGATATTGTCATCGATTGGCGCTGATTCGTCCGCGGCCCTGCTCTGCCCTCGCGGCGCTCCTGCGCTCTGCCGCCTGGGACGGGGCACGCCGCGGCGGAACGGAGAGAGGGCCGGCCGCCGGAGAGAGCTGGCCGCTGGCTGGCTAGCTGAGCGTGAGACGAGTGTTCGTCGCCCGATGAGAGCCGGATCCGCGTAGAGTCTTTCGGTCGGATGCAGCTGGCATTGAAGTGGAGCGCTCAACGCTGGTTGCTTCGGTTTTTCAACACTTATTGCCAGTGACATTTTCTGAGTGGCTTTTTAAGGTTCCTATACTAATTTACCCTGGCCTTGATTGTGTAATTTATCTTCAGGAATGTGTGGGTTTATTCAATTTGAGGATCAATTGAGACCTCTCGGATCTTGGAATAGCAAGACACATTGTGCACTATGGCCTACTCAGCTTCAGAAATTGTAGGTTTGGCCGTCTGAAAGGGTTCAGTTTTATTACCCACACATGTGTTTTCCTCCCGGATTCTGGTTCAGATGCAATGGCCTGGATCCTTAGCAATACATGTTTATAATGCCCAGGCGGACGTGCCAGTGAAAACTGTACGAAAGTGGCCACAGTGAACTCGCTTCTAAACTCACACGCCAAGCCCCGTTCCAGTCGGTAATCCAGGCACGCCGTGTAGCTTGCTAGCCGGCTGTACACCTGGCCGAACATAGCCGGAAGTGTGCCGCTTCCGGCGCACGTGCCGCGCCCGGTGTGGCGGGCGGGCAGGGCTGCCTGCCATCTGGTGGCGGGGAGAAGGGGTAGGGCGTCGCGGCCGTGCTCAGCTCAGCGCATGAGTCGGAGATTTGCCGCGGGGCGCGGGTGGACAGGAGGTGGCGGGTATTCCCCGCTGGGTCATGAGACGCCCGTGGCCGGCGGGAGACGCAGTGGAGAGAGCGGGAGCTGACGAGGCGGTGTGTGCAGAATGCGCGCCTTGCCGCGCCGGTCGTGTGGGGGAGTTTCGTGCTTGGAGGCGGCCGCCGGCGGCTTGAACGGGGCATTGGACGACGTAGGGGGTTTGGTCTCCTGGCTGGCCGAGGCCGGGCGCCCGCCGCCGGTGGGACTTCCCGCTTGACTGTCGCTGCCGCTGGCTGTTGGTGGGCTGCCTTTTGCTCCCTGCTCTCGCCATTTTCCCTTTGCCCTGTCACCCATTGGTCTCATTTCACAACGTTCGGCTGTATACCAGCTTCTTTGTTTGCATGCATTCCGGCTGGCTTTGTCTTTTTGCTTTGTTGTAAACTTTGGTGCATTTTTAACGTGATCCCGCTGTTCATAAGGCGTCGTGTGATACTTTTGATCAGTTGGGTCTTTTCCATAGCACTGTTCGCACCTGCCGTGCTGTGGCATCTGGAAATCTTATGTTTTTCCTTGTGGGCATATTCGCTATGGTCGCTTGTTTATACTGCAACGCGCTGTATTATTCAGCCGCCTTTTCCTTTCTGCGAACCGGCTCTTTCTGCGCGCTGATTCTGCACTAATCGTGCGTTGTATTCTGCCCCCTTTCAGATGACTCCCAGCTGAATGTGACTAACCTCAGCCTCGAGACCACGATCCTGAACAAACTGTACCCGGCCGCCCAGGGCCCGCGCGAGCCCGCCTCCTCCGCCAGCTCGCGGCGCGCCTCGCAGGTGAACCGCGTCAACTCGGGCATCGAGCGCGGCCAGACGCTGAACGGGCCTCCTGCTGCACCCGCAGAGCTCTCCGAGCTGCTGGCCTCGCTCAAGCAGATCCAGCGGGCGCTGCGTTCGGACGGCCGCGGCCTGCAGCACGAGCTGGCGGCCGCCCAAGCGCTGCTCACCTCGCCAGAGTTCCAGCGCGTGCTGGCCGTGCACAACAAGGTGCAAGAGATCTGGTGCTTTAGCGCGCCGCCCTCGGCGCTCTGCCACAACGCTCAGGACGTGGTGCAGGAGGTGGGTGGCGTGTGCTGCTGCGCAGGCGGGGACGTGCTGGATGTGGTTACTGGTGTGGAGGTGGGGAAGTTGATAGAAGTGATGTGAGTTTGGGTTTTGGGCGCATAGGCTGGCTCTAAATTAACGGCCGCGCTATCCTGAACGATGCTTACTCTATTTTGGCCTTTATTTGTGCCACGCTCGAAGCTGTCTCACTGTTCATGTCACTGTTTTCTTAATGACTTTGTCCCATAATCTTAATGACTTTGTCCGACACTGCACGCACTGCACTTGGAACGACCCGCAGTGGGCCGCCGATCTAACACACGTTGGTGCGGTCGCCGCCAGGTGGTGGGCGTGCTGCAGGACTCCTCGACGCCCGAGGCGGCCGAGCTGGTCGACCTGCTGACCCGGTTCGACATGGAGGGCCTGCTGTACTCGCACGACCAGATCGCGGTGCGCGGCTCGGCAGCCGCCTCGCCCGAGCCCAGCCCGCTGCTGGACGACTACGCCGAGCGCGTGCACCACTATACGGACCCGCGCGTGCGGGTCATCCGGCTGGAGAAGACCAACGAGCCGCTGGTGAGCGCGCGCCCTCCGGCTGCGGCGAGGTCCCAGCACTCGGGGGCGCAGCGTGCTTTGAGCCACTCGTTTTCTGACCAGGTGGTGGATATTTATATTATATTTCTGATTATATGTCTAACCTCAGGGGCGAGTCTATGCAGAGCAAGTGCTGAGCTCCAGGAGTTGTCTGCTTTTCATTTCAGGGCGCAGTTACCACAAACGCAATGTTCAAAGCCTCAGCAGTGTTTAGTTTTCACTTCAGTGACGAATCCACATCCAAGCCGGTCTCACAGGCTCGGTTGTTTTCTGTTTTGGACTGGAACCATATCAACCTTCGAGTCACCTCCTACCTTTCCCTGCACTGTAAGCGTGCCGAGAAGGTCAGATGCTAAATGCGCCAGCTGTCTGCGGCGCTGCGTGTCGTTCGGATTTGCAGTGGCTCAGAGTTGTTGGAATGAATAGCCGGCTACTTTGAATGCAGCTTCTCAGGTGGCTTATGTTGGCGTCCTGCGTCGGCGGCAGCGGCCACCAGTCGAGGAGTTTGTAATGTGCCGCTGCTGGCGCCGACTGGGGACGCATTGTTGCATTGTTAGAGACGCGACCCGTTGTGGCGGCGTCATTCGCTGTCGATTGGTCGCTGGGCCACATGTCGGCCGACTTATGCGTGAGCGAGAACCGTTGCTGGGCGCGGTAGTCACGGCTGGGAGACACGGGCCATTGCTGGACTGGCATGAGGGGAACAGTTTCATTCTAGCCCCCCCCCCCCTCCGTAGGTCACATCCAAGGTAGGCCAACTAGGCCATACCCCGTCCCAAGATGATCTAAGCTGAGCAAAACTTGTGCATTTCTGAACTTTGAAGAGGATCGATAGACTTTTACAACAAAAGTTTGTTTAAGAGCACTTCTTAAGGAACATGAAGCAAAATCCAATGAGCTGTGGAAAATCTGGACAGCTTTTGCGATTTGGACCGTCCGAGCTGGGCTTCTCCCACGCCCCCCCCCCTCAAGGCGGCGTTCTGGATGCGCCCTCGCCCCCCCCTTCCCGCCACCCCACACCTTTCGAGCTCACCCCTCACATACGCCGCACAAAAGCTGCATACCGTGCCGGGGAGTCCTGGCGCGCCGGCCGCGGCCATGGCTGATGAACACACCCCGCGGCTACTGAGGTCACGCTCTGGTTCGGGGCCGGCCGCTCGACGGCCGTCGCCGGGTGTTCAGTGTCGCCACGCCGCCGCCGCAACAGGGCGCCGCACGGGAAACTGAGCCGGCCCGTGACCTGTCAACGCGTCACGGCACGTCACGGCACGCTGCGGGGCTGGCAGCTGCGAGCGCGAGCGAGGGATTGGGTTGCGTACGCTCTGCATTTGTGTTCGTTAAATTGGTCACTTGAAGGGAATGTCCCACAGTTGAACATATTGAAGCAAGCATTAGAAATGGGGAAATAAGCTCACTTAAAGCTGCTGTCATGTGTTAACTAGAGCAGCCTTTTCCATTTTTAAGTGGAAAAGACTGCTCTAGTTAACACATTTTCTCTGTTTAGTAAATGTCTTTCTCAATGCGTCATCCTTTCATTACGTCATCAGTTCTTGCATAACATCGATCGAGGCCCCATGAACGGCGGTTATATGTGGAAATGGTGCTCACGAACGCCGGATATTAACGACTGGACACTTTTTTTCTTGGGCTTGATCTCCGCATGCCAATAGCATGACAGGATTTTGATAGCGGTATTTTGACGTCGTGAATGCCTTGGTGACTTTGGAATAGTCTCCCCGAAGTAGTCTGCACACCTTCGCGGGCGTGTACCGCAGACACTGGAAGGGGTTGGGTCGTACGAAGGGCAGGAATGTGAACTGTAACGAAGATCTTCAATAGGGCTATGTCAGGTCAAAATCCCTTTCAAATGTGAAACACTTCCTTGAAGCGAGTAGATATTTACATCGGGAGCAGGCAGCCAGCGGAATCGAACAGAGGCCACGCATAGATCCCATGCGTTCTGGGTTTTGACATTGGAAACTTTGCATGCCCGTGTAGGTTTTTGCCCTTGATGTTGATTGTGACGCCATCGTGCGGTCTAGGTAAGGTGTATTTTATACACGTGCATCTAATAACCCGTTTTTTCACGATGGTAACTAATGGTCGATATCAGCAACACTTTTTTCGTAGGCCAGAATGGTCACGGTGTTACCCGAAACTGTTGCATTTGCTGTAATTCCAAATCTAGTAGCACTACTTCATCGCCGTAGGACATGTGATGTGCATATCAGGTTTTTGCTAGTTAGCTGTGATCGGAGCAGTCGGTATTTTTCGGAAGGAGATTATTGTTGCCAGTCGCCTCGGTATCCCCCCCCCCCCCCCCTGTCAGTGGTGTGTCGTGCTCCTAAGACCCGAACCGCGCCCCCTCCAGGGCGTCACGGTGAAGAACGAGGGCGACTCGGTGCCAGTCGCCTCGGTATGCCCCCCCCCCCCCGTCAGTGGTGTGTCGTTCTCCTATGACCCGGACCGCACCCCCTCCAGGGCGCCACGGTGAAGAACGAGGGCGACTCGGTGCTGGTGGGTCGGATCGTGAAGGGCGGCGCCGCCGACAAGTCCGGCCTGCTGCGGCCCGGTGACGAGATCCTCGAGGTCAACGGCATCGAGATGAGGTACGGGCGCGACAGCGAGCGAAACACGTCCGGAGAGCGGTCAGCCCCGGTAGAGGCCTGAACACCGCTGGCGAGGTGTTGACTGGGGTCGCGAGTCAGGGCAGTAAGTTACGGAAACTGGGGTCGGTGTGGGTTTGTGGGAAATAGCTATATGCATTAGCCCGTTTTCTAGCTACTCAATAAGGCCGCTTGTTATCGCTGCGGACAAATCCATGCGAGGTCCCAGGTAGGTTATCCTCTGATGTGTTTATCCTCTGATGTCCTTAAATACTAAGCAGTCTGAAAGTTGCGATTGAATGTATGAAAGATACCCAAGTTAAGGCTTTGGTTGGCACTTGTGGCTACAGTTAAGGCCGATGGCTTTAGTTGACGCTTGTGGTTACAGTCGCAGGCCACTCACAATACAGAACCATGTGCGGACCCTCAATGCGAAATCGCTAATAATTAAGTGCTACCGTGTTTGCTTGTCCTTTAACGTCAAACACCGTTGTCCTGCGCGCGTGTTCCGGGCATTTTATCGTGCACATCGCCGGCGATTGGTGTTCTCGGCGCCGTCCTCACTGCACGTGACGTCACACAGGGGCAAGTCGGTGGACGACGTCTGTGATATTCTGGCCGGCATGACGGGTAGTCTGGTGTTCCTGGCCCTGCCGCGCGAGGAGGAGGAGGAGCCGGAGAAGACTAAGCCGGCCCAGGCCGTGGTGAGTCTCCGCCGCTGTACCGTGTGATGGGTACCCCTGCTGCCCCCCCCCCCCTAACGTGCTCGCCGGGCCTCCGTGTCCGGGTTGATATCTCCGTTCTATGGGGGGGGGGGGGGTAGGACTTTTTTTGGTGCGCTGCTGTGTTTTTACACACATGCCATGACATGAGTTTTGTGGTTGTGAGATTGGTCGAAGGTGGAAGGAGCTTTGCTCCACGTTTGGAATGATGAAGTTAAGCAGTTCGAACCTACCCGACCAGATCTGAACATGATCCGGAGCTATCCTGCATCCGTTGGCATCAGAAATGAGTGTCATCAGTAAGCATTGCCGTCAGGAAACGAGATCAACGGACTGTCGTATTCGCTACTGGCCGTCACAGATCACTATTAGCCGTAGTATCATTGTTTGGAGTTGTTTGGACATTGCGCTGTATGCCACGTGGTGGTTGAAAACACATTGTGTTGGTTGTTAGCTATTGCCGTTGGTTTGGTCTAATACACGGTAGGTCGCCATGGCCGGGCCGGAGTATCTTACAGCTATAGTGCGATTGGTATCAGTCGCAAGTACCTATTACTCGGCATTGTGTTGGCACGAAGCCGTCCGTATCGTACTGCGTTTGACGACGGAATTTAGGGAGCGTCGGCTTTGAGGTCACGCAACGCCCATTCCCGCCGTCTGTAATGGCTCATTGTGTCACAAAATCAATATACGACGGCTCCGCACTCAACCCAAAACCGATCGAGTGCGTTAATCGATGATTGAATGATACTTTTAGTAAATTGAATAATGAATGAAACATACAGTCAGGAGCGCTTTCATCGCCACGGCATTATGTTGGGCTGTGCTGAGGCCTGTTTCACGAGTGTCTTCTCCCTCGGCTTCGGATCTCTCATGTAATTCAGCTGTCAGTTGCGTCCTGTTCGCCACCGTCTACCAGCCTGCTCACAGTGCGCATCGCCAGCCTCTCCGCCTTCCGTCAGCCCCGCGCTCTTTAACAAGCCAGCCTGGCCATAAACTTTAGATAAGCTAAAGATGACCCACAGAGAACACAATATCTGTGTTCAAAATCTTACTCGTGTTTTTTACCACTTGCGTTGATGTAGATGTGGTATTCGGCTAGAGACAGAGAGAGAGAGCACCGGGCCGATACGGTGGTGTCAGTGTCACTCCGTGGCAGACGATCTCGCAGGTTGTAAGACCGATGAGCGCACAGAAATAGCGCCGGGGTAATTAAAGTATGCCGATCCCGTTGTGTTTATGAGCGCACCAGGTCCCAAGGCCGTTTGGCGAAATAGTGAGCCCGGGACGAAGAGTTTTCGGAGGGCATCAGGGTATCGAATTGAGTAAGAATGGCATGCATTGCGTTTTATGTGTGTGGTGTTTTACTTCTGCCTCTAGCAACCTCTCCGAATTATTTGGAATGTTGCGCTAATTTAAAGTGACTGGAGAAAGTAAGTATTGGTTTTCCTGTTCTGGCATGGAGGTGCTCTCATGAAACAGACTCGTGGTCTTGACGATTGCAGCAGCCCCGTTTGCCAAGTGAGGGTTGACGACGTTTTTTATTTGCACCGGGGAACAGCACCTGTGCATCATCTACGTGTTGCACAAGCATGGCGTGTTCTAAACGGATGTTAAACATTAAATACGTGTAAAAAAACGTGTAAAAATGGGGCTCAAAGCGGATCATAGAAACAGTCCCATACCGCCAGTCGACTTTTCTGGGGCGTCTTTCCTTGCGTCAGTGTTCGTGAAATTTATTGTCAGGCTGTGGCTGCATAGGTATAAAAACAACCAAGATTTGTGTGCAGCTTCGTGTGAAAGTGTAGAAAACAGTTCGGAATGGCCGATGGTGTTAAAACACCCGTCAAGTCCGGGAGCGGAGGAGCGAAATTTATTCCTTGTGGGTGGCTAACAGGGTGTCGTCGGAGACTGACGAAAGCGCAGTTTCCGCCGAGTGACGGGGACGGAAACTACGCCGTTGGGATGACAAGAAGTTGTTATTGGAAAGGTGGCTCTGGGGGCTGACGTGCTCGGCTATTTCGGGGTCGATGAGGATGTGCCGAAGGCTCTATGCGTTTGGTGTTCAGGAGTTTTTAGGTGTTTGTGAGGATTTCCCGCACTTGAGGATAGGTAACCGATGTAATGCCTCCAAAGTGTGGACCTCTGCCAGAGCAAGTGACGAAACAGGTCAGATTGAGGGTATGGTGTCTGATCACATCCAAGGCGGTGTTAAGCACCCAGACGCCCAGACCGTGCTATCTGAGGTCGGACAACCCGGCATGCGGAAAGCGCGGCAGCGCACCTCGCAGGTCTAGACGGGTGACAAGGTAAATGTGCACCAGACCACCCTGGGAAGCGACGAGCAACTCCGCGTGCCCGTGACTGACCTACCACCGAGCCCGGCTCGGGTCGGCGCCGACGAAGGAGCGCTACGCCTCGCCGGGCGTCTGGTAAGGAACGGATCGTCAGGCTGATGTCTGGCGGGGGACCGTGGCGCGTGAGCACGCCACACCCCGTGCTCGCTGGCTGTCCCTCCGAACGTGGGGCGACTGTAGAGGCCAGCTGCAGGTCTCGCCGCTGCGCTGAGTGCGTGAGAGGCAGGGCAGTCACGGCCAGACCAGTGGATGACGCCCTGGCGCGTCACCGGCTGGTCCGTGTGAATGCGCTAATCGGAGCGGCAGTGGGGGTGTTCGGAGTGGCGGTGAAACCGAGGAACGTCGCGGTCAGGTGCAGGTAAAATCGCCGTCAAAAATGGTACCGCTGTCCGGTTAGCTGTCCCGGACGCGTCGTCGTCACCTGTCGGCATATATCGCAGGTCCTGCGTCGCCTGTGAAATTCCTGGCCCTGTCCGCAAACATCGGGAGACTCTTGATGGCCGCGCCGGCCTCTGTCAGAGAGACGCGGCTGAATCTGGTGGCTGCAGCCCAGTCTCACCGCTGCCGATCCGTCGCTGGCGGCCCGCCGCTGCCACCGCACTGCCGGGAGATAATGGTAACAAATGGCCACCATTGTCGGGGCTCAGGCGTGCTTCCAGCCTAAGCCTGGGCCTGGCCGTCTTCCTTTCCGCAGCGGCTCTCTTTCTGCGCCGGCAGCCCGCTCCGTACCATTCATCTGCGCCCTACTCAGGCATTCATCTGCCTGCTGCACCGCCATTTATCCGCTTCTTGCCTTTCCGTTCTGGCTCATCCATTCCGGGCCGTGTTCCGCTCGGGTGCCCGCTGTGTGTTCGCTCCGCCGGGAGTCGGCCAGCTCGGCCACCGGAGCCATTCCGGGCAGCAGCGTGTGGTGAGCCGCGCCGCACCGGCGTTCGCTGCGTCGTGACCGGCGTCGTTCGGAGACGGTATAGAGCGGTTGGCCGGCGGCTGGTGGCATGACGACTGTCTTCGTGAGGTGGGAGAGTGCGCTTGGCAGTTGATGGCTTGGCAACGGTCCGCGTGGGTGGAGCGAGCGCGGCGCTCGGCCCGGGCGGGGTCGGACACCGGCGATGGCATGACAACTGTCCTGGTGAGGTGGGAGAGTGCGCTTGGCAGTTGATGGCATGGCAACGGTCCGCGTGGGTGGAGCGAGCGCGGCGCTCGGCCCGGCCGGGGTCGGACACCGGCGATGGCGCTCGCCCCATCCCCTCGCTCTCCTCCCGTTCCCCGCCGGTCCGCCCGCCCACGTCGACCGCGGGCGTGCGGCGTGCAGCTGCGCCGGCCGAGAGAGCTCGCCCACCGGGCCAGCGGAGTTGGCGTTGGCGGCCGCCGGACCGGAATGAGCGATGCCGGCGGCGGCTCGGTGCGGAGCGGTGACGGAAGCCCGCCACGGAGCCGCTGCTGGGCTGCCCCGGTCGGCGGCGTCGCTGGCGCCGTCGTCGGCGGCGGCTCGGTGCGGCGCGGTGACAGAAGCCCGCCACGGAGCCGCCGCTGGGCTGCCCCGGTCGGCAGCGTCACTGGCGGCTTACGCCGGCGGCGGCTCGGTGCGGCGCGGTGACAGAAGCCCGCCACGGAGCCGCTGCTGGGCTGCCCCGGTCGGCGGTGTCACTGGCGACCGTCGGCGGCGGCTCGGTGCGGCGCGGTGACGGAAGCCCGCCACGGAGCCGCCGCTGGGCTGCCCCGGTCGGCGGCGTCACTGGCGGCCTACGCCGGCGGCGGCTCGGTGCGGCGCGGTGACAGAAGCCCGCCACGGAGCCGCTGCTGGGCTGCCCCGGTCGGCGGTGTCACTGGCGACCGTCAGCGGCGGCTCGGTGCGGCGCGGTGACGGAAACCCGCCACGGAGCCGCCGCTGGGCTGCCCCGGTCGGCGGCGTCACTGGCGGCCGTCGTCGGCGGCGGTGTCCGGTCAGCGCTGCTGGCGCTGGTCATCCCTCATCGCTGCCGGAAATGGTGTGTGACTGCCGTCGCGAACGGCGGCGTGGCGCAGGACTGGGACCGGGCGCTGCCGCATCGGGTGTGCCTCGCTTCGGCGCGATGCGGAGTCGCCTGGGTGCGGTCTCCCGGTAACACTTCGGCTGTCACCAGTAATGAATTTGCTTTCCATGGAAGTCGATAGATCTTTCCAGCGGATCAGCCTGCGTCTTATGACTTCTGGAAAAGATTTGGTGCCTTACCGAAGACTGCTAACTCAGATTTTGATCCCTTCCTGATGTTGGAGTTTGACAAGATGAGCCTCCTGGAGATGAGGTGAATTATACTCGACGAATATTTCCACTACCGTACCCTGATGCATCACTGCTGATCGCAGCCTTAGCAGTGGCTTCGTTTGCAGCATCCCGCCACACACCCCATCTCACATCGCTTTTCATCATGCGAGCTGCATGCATGGAGGGCTTGGATTGTAAAAAACGGCTCGAGGCAAGCCATGGGATATTTGACCGGCGGCGGATTTCGGCAGACCTTATTTGACGTATCCCAGGCGAGGTATGCCGAGCAGCACGTGGCATGATTGCAGGAGCAGCTGTACGTGCGGAATCAGCTGTGTGAACCGTGGCGACCAGGAAATGATGAAAATGGGGCTGTGAAGCATCTTCCATCGAGTGTCACCGCATTCAGTATTCATCCCTCGATGTAAGCAACGCGTCCGCAGTGTTGCCGCTGGCTCCGTCTGCCGTCTGGCGTTGTTAGCAGCAGCACGCCCGCCGCCGCCGGCGGAGCGCGCCCGCCCTGACGCCGCCCCCTCCGGCCGTCAGCTGCACGTGAAGGCGCACTTCGACTACGACCCCGAGGACGACATCTACATGCCGTGCCGCGAGATCGGCATGTCCTTCCAGAAGGGCGACATCCTGCACGTGACGAGCCAGGAGGACCCCGACTGGTGGCAGGCGACGCGCGACGGCGATGAGGACCTCCCGCTCAGCGGCCTCATCCCCAGCCTCAGCTTCCAGACGCAGTGAGTGCCGGCGGCGGCCGCTGCTCGGCCCGCCCGGAGGGGTTTCTCGCGCGGTGCGGCGGGGACGCGCGGGTTTCAGGCCCCGCTCTGTTTGACGCGGGTGCGGGAGTGACGCCGGCGGGCTCTGTGTACTGGAGGAGATGGAGCGTCGAGAATGCAGTTGCGTGTTGAGATGGTTTCGCAGCGGAATCAGATAACATTCAGATTAGCAGTTATTCAGATGAACACTTGAGGCGTCAAATGAATGTGGCCATGTTGCACACGTTTAAGTGTTATGCTTAGTAAAAGCCGTAGTCCTTTGGTTTATTTAGCCGGTGCATTTCCTCCACCTGCCCTGGCTTTGTGTGGTCACGTGAGATGCACCTCATGACGCCAACACAATGACGGACTGTGTTCTTGTGGAAGGAGAGACGCTCAAACAATGACGCGTTGTGTTCTTTCTCAGGCGGGAGACGCTCAAACAGTCAATCATCGACAGCAGTCGGAAAGAGGGGAAGAAGACGAAATTCCTCTGTGCCAAACGTACCAACAAGAAAAAGAAGAAAATGTACAACGCCGAGTATAACGACGGTGAGTAAAACATACCATCAGTTTTTCTCCCTCTAAATTTGTCACGAGAAATGCCGACCAAAAGTATGTATTGTTATGAAGGCATGCGACTGGGAAGGGTCGACAACGCTGATATGTGGAGCAATGCCCATGTACTGCTAACTGTGGCGATGTTTCCCCGTCAATTACAACTTGATGTGAACGATGATGCAACTTGCCTTCCTTTGCCACCATAAACTTTTGCTCGCTATTCGAAAGTTGCGGTCATTACCGTAAACATGCTCCGTTTATGGGCTGCTCGGCCGGAGCGCTGAGGGCGCCGGCCGCCACCCGTCGTGTAACAACGCCCGCTCGCTCTGCAGACTACGAGGCTAACGAGATCCTCACGTACGAGGAGGTGGGCCTGTATTACCCGCGCGCCAACCACAAGCGGCCCGTGGTGCTCATCGGGCCGCCCAATATCGGCCGGCACGAGCTGCGCCAGAAGCTGATGGAGGACACGGACCGCTTCTCGGCCGCCGTGCCCCGTCAGTACCGCGTCGGGGGGCGACTCGGCGGCTGCTGTGTGGGCTGTGGTTAGAGCGGGGATTGGTTGGTGGCTGGTAATGTCCAGGTTCGTGTGGGGACTGGGAGATGCAGTAGTTTATGAGATACGGTCAGTGTTTTGCGACTTAGCTGCAGGATCAGGCCAATGGCTTGTTGGCAGTGTAATCTGGAGTTTCCAGTCTGGGTCGGGACTGCAGGCTTCACATTCTGTGGCGCCCAGTCAGTACCAAAACTGGCCGGTGTAATTTGTTGGCACCGCTCCTGCTGGAGGCGCCGACATTTTTGTGTGATATCCAGCCAGTATGGGGCGATGTGACCCGCGTGACTAGGCCCATCTGACCTTCAACCCCGCCGCCTCGCGTCGCAGACACGAGCCGGCCTCGGAAGGACACGGAGCTGGACGGCCAGGACTACCACTTCATCTCGCGGCCGCAGTTTGAGCAGGACATCGTGAACCGCCTCTTCGTGGAGCACGGCGAGTACGAGCGCGCCTACTACGGCACCAGCATCAACGCCATCCGCACCGTCGTCAACAGCAGCAAGATCTGCGTGCTCAACCTGCACCCGCACAGCCTCAAGATCCTGAAGAACACTGACCTGAAGCCGTTCGTGGTGTTCGTGGCGCCGCCCTCGCTGGAGAAGTTGCGCCAGATGAAGCAGAAGGCAGGCGAACAGGTTCGGGTACGTGCTGAGGATGCTGGAGAGGAGAGTGAATGTTGTGGTGTGGTATTGTGGAGGCGTATCCTCGTGGACGCCGTTTTTAACAAACGGGAAGCAAGAATTTCGTCACACATTGAAATGTTGAGTGAGTTTCCTGCTCCCAGCCACGCACATAGATTCACATTATTTTATAGCTGTCAGTGGGGAATAGCGTCGGTAGTGCGGTATATCCTCATTGTCCGAATATGAACGTGAGTGCCCACAATAGCAAACCTCACCAGGTTTGCTGTGTTAACGTATACTGAATCACACTGAAGCACATTTGAAGGGCTTCGTTGTTTCACGTCAAGCGACCTGACGGAGCAAAGCCAGCCGGCTGTTGCTCCGTCAGGCCCCGCGGTCGCCACGCGGCGCCGACCTCGGGTCACCCTGACGTGACGTAACATGACCGGACCCGCGCCGCCCCGCCACGCCCCCAGGACGACGAGCTGAAGCATATCATCGAGAAGGCGCGCGAGATCGAGGAGGTGTACGGCCACTACTTCGACATCGTCATCATCAACTCGGACCTGGGGCGCGCGTACGAGCAGCTCATCCACGAGATCAACACGCTGGAGCGCGAGCCCCAGTGGGTGCCGGCCACGTGGCTGCGGCAGGACGCGACGTAGCAGCGACGGCCAGGCCCTCGCGCCGCGAGCGTCGCCCCAGCTGCCGGCGGCCATGGTGAGTGAGGCGTGGCTGCGGTCCTGGCGGGACGCCGGCGGAGTGTGGGAGCAGGGTTGGACGTGTGAGTGGAGAGGTAAAGGACAAGTGGGTGGTGTTGTGGAGGAGGTGGCAGTGAGTTAACACGTATGGGGGAATGGACTGCGCCAGTGTGAGATGGATGGTCATGGCAAGCATGGAAGTGCATGGAAAGTTTAGTGTCGAAATTAATAGTCAACATTATCGTCCAGGATGAAGGGTCCCTTTTACAAGCATTCTTTGTGATACACACGGGTGCCGGTGCATTACACCGACGTCATCCATGGATCATGCTAGGCCACCCCGCTCGTCCTGTGCGAGTGCCCGTCCCTCTGACCCGTTCGTCCTGTGCAAGTGCCCGTCCCTCTGACCCGTTCGTCCTGTGCCAGTGCCCGTCCCTCTGACCCGCTCGTCCTGTGCCAGTGCCCGTCCCTCTGACCCGCTCGTCCTGTGCCAGTGCCCGTCCCTCTGACCCGTCGTCCTGTGCCAGTGCCCGTTCCTCTGACCCGTTCGTCCTGTGCCAGTGCCGTCCCTCTGACCCGTTCGTCCTGTGCCAGTGCCCGTCCTCTGACCCGTTCGTCCGTGCCAGTGCCCGTCCCTCTGACCCGTTCGTCCTGTGCCAGTGCCCGTCCCTCTGACCCGTTCGTCCTGTGCCAGTGCCCGTCCCTCTGACCCGCTCGTCCTGTGCCAGTGCCCGTCCCTCTGACCCGCTCGTCGTGTGCCAGTTCCCGTCCCTCTGACCCGCTCGTCCTGTGCCAGTGCCCGTCCCTCGGACCCGTTCGTCCTGTGCCAGTGGCCGTCCCTCTGACCCGCTCGTCCTGTGCCAGTGCCGTCCCTCTGACCCGCTCGTCCTGTGCCAGTGCCCGTCCCTCTGACCCGCTCGTCCTGTGCCAGTGCCCGTCCCTCGGACCCGTTCGTCCTGTGCCAGTGCCCGTCCCTCTGGCCCACTCGTGCTGTGCCAGTGCCCGTCCCTCTGACCCGTTCGTCCTGTGCCAGTGCCCGTCCCTCGGACCCGTTCGTCCTGTGCCAGTGCCCGTCCCTCGGACCCGTTCGTCCTGTGCCAGTGCCCGTCCCTCTGACCCGTTCGTCCTGTGCGAGTGCCCGTCCCTCTGACCCGTTCGTCCTGTGCAGTGCCCGTCCCTCTGACCCGTTCGTCCGTGCCAGTGCCCGTCCCTCTGACCCGTTCGTCCTGTGCCAGTGCCCGTCCCTCTGACCCGCTCGTCCTGTGCCAGTGCCCGTCCCTCTGACCCGCTCGTCCTGTGCCAGTGCCCGTCCCTCTGACCCGCTCGTCCTGTGCCAGTGCCCGTCCCTCTGACCCGTTCGTCCTGTGCCAGTGCCCGTCCCTCTGACCCGTTCGTCCTGTGCGAGTGCCCGTCCCTCTGACCCACTCGTCCTGTTTCAGACGCGGCCGCGCGGCGACCTGCCGGCCTCGGCCGCGCTCCAGTCACTCAGTAGCGGTCCCAGTGTCCCTCAGTGTACAGACGGCGGCCTCACTCTCCTCGGCCGCCGCCGCCGCTGCGCCGGACGGACCTGGCACCCGCCGCCGGCCATTTGTTTTGTGGTATTTTATATTTTGACGCGGCGCGCGGACGCCGCGCCGCCCGCGCGCCGCGAGTGTCCCAGACGCGCCGCGCGGCGCCGGGCCGGAGCGGACCTGGACGCTGTCGTCGGACCCCTTCCAGTCCGGGGCCCGGCCGGCGGGACCCCCCCGAGACGCGGTCGCCGGCTTTCGGTGTACGTCTTCCCGCGCGTGGCCGCCTCGTGGCCTCCAGACCCCGCCCCCGCCCCCGGCCCCGGCCCGCCCGGACGGGCCCCATTCCCGCGGCATTTCACCCGGCGTGGACTCGAATAAGCCCCTGTACAGGCAGTACCGTAGTGTTATTATGTTACCCTGTATATTATTGTTACTGTGTATACCTGAAAATAAATAAATTTCACGCTGCTCGAGGCACTTTGAGATGTTTTGGGGCGCTCGGAATGGAGTATCGACAGTCCTGTATGCGGTGAAATGACCGAAGCCTGGAGCCTCCGTATACCAGTGCGTCTGTCGGAACGATTTCCTGAGGATTATTGTTGTCGGCGGGCTAGCCACCGATTGTCCGTTTCATACGATTGTTGTACGCTCTGATGTTGTTCCGTAGGCGAAAAAATCGTGTTCTGCACCTGTAAAAGCGGAAATTAGCACCGAAAAGAAGTTGATCGTTTCTGGTGCTGAAGCGTACGTTTGGAATAGTCGTTTACGGTTTGCATTCAGAAGTTACTCATGTCATTGCTCATAATTTCGCTGCATAAATCATTTCTCACTTGGCTTGCCAACAGATTGCGCCGTTTCCGCATCCCGCGTCCCTTCTAGCTTATGTGGTCAGATAAAGTACAGTAACATGATTCGTCACATCTGGTATGAGGAGCTTGGAACTTACAATGAAGCCTTAATTAAGAACCATGACGGATTTCTCGGGAGGTGTCCCGGTTGTCCTTATTCAGTTAGCAACGCAATTTTGTTCGCAACAAAAACAGTGAAAAAGGAAATGAAATCCGCCTGCAGGCGAACCAAATGTATGGCGCGTGCTAAGAGGCCAGCAAGCTAAATAGCCATGGGCTGGTGTGTTGTATGGTAATTATTTTGCATTATTTTGTAAGTTGGAGTGGGGTGGGAACAAGAACAGTGTAATCGCAGGAGAGGGCGGTTATAGAAAGCTACATTCTACACAAATTTGGCAATCTTCGCATCCCCCGTCGTAGCTAAAGCCCACCTATGACACTAATCACACCATGTCTCTGCATCCAGCTAGAAAAATTCCCAGAAACTAAACCATCGTAACTCTTGTTCACCGCGGCTGTACCCATTAAGTATCGATGCATCCAAAATGTCATTTCTGGGCGCCCGCCACCACCGAAAAAGGTGCGATCTAAAACGCTACCATCAGCAGCGTGTCAACGCTTTCGCTCAGGAAAATTAGATCACGTGTATGCCGACAAGCGGTTCGTCAGTGCCAACCGACGGCAAGAATGTAATGGGTTACCTGTGATACAGGTCGGTGGCGCAGTATGAACAACCGCAGCAGAGCACCCCACGCGCCGTGGTTGAATCCTGAGAGAGCACGGCGGAGGGCGAGCAGGCCCCGTGAAGCGGTCCCGGTTTGTTAAACCATAGTTTGGGAGCCGCTACGCGAACGTACGCACAAAACAAAGACTGCACATTGAGGCGCATTTATTTTTAACGTCCATGTGGCATCGTCACAAAGTTCGCGTTCAAATCAGATTTAAGTGTTTTCACAGCGTTCCATTCAGAGAACACCACAGGCCGGTCTCATTGAACCTCTATAGATAGAGACCCTCTGGGGTTCCCTCCTTCTTGCGATAGAGCACACTCTCCTTGGACTTCTTGAAGTCCTCGTTGGTGACTTTCATGCGCCGCTCGCGCAGCGCCATCAGCCCGCCCTCGGTGCAGATCGCCTGTGCAGTCGGGACATCTCGGTTACAACACAGCGGCGTACGTCACAGAACGGAGAGCTCCAGTCACAACACAGCGGCGTACGTCGCAGAACGGACGGCTTCGGTCACAACACAGCGGCGTACGTCACAGAACGGAGAGCTCCAGTCACAACACAGCGGCGTACGTCACAGAACGGACGGCTTCGGTCACAACACAGAAGGCGCGTACGTCACAGAAGCGGAGTTCTAGGTCACAACACAGCGGCGTTCTCACAAACGGACCTTCGGTCACAAAAGCGGCGTACGTCACTGAACGGACGCTCGAACCGGCTACGTCCAGAACGGAAGCTCCAGTCAAACAATCACAAAACGCTCCGGCAAACACAGGGCGTGTCACAGACGGAGAGACATCACAACACAGCGGCGTACGTCACAGAACGGCGGCTTCCACACAGCGGGAACGTATGAGATCCGACTCAAGCGGCATGCGTCACAAACGGGAGGCTACGGTCACAACAGCGCTACTCACAAACGGAGAGGACGCACGCACTGGCACGGACACAATGACTTGCTGGGACACGGTTCCTGATGGATTGGTGCCCTGGCGCGGTAATGAACGGCAGACACGATCCACGCATAAAATCGCCGCGGTCAGCCCAGCGTCGTGGAGCTCGGTTCACGCCGCCGCCACCGCGAACGTGCCAGGCCCGGAATCAGCTCGGCCAGACACCGCGCAGCGATAGTCCATCACCGCACCAGACCACCCACGTCATCCCCCTCCGCCACAGACCGCCAAAACCGAGCTCGGGTGTCGCCCGCCCTCCGGGCAGCATTATCACGTCCTTCCTGTGGAACGCGCCATGTAGCTCGATACCTGAGCTCTTGACGTCACCACTGAGGTCGTCCCAGCTCACGACCTGCCGTCCCTCCTGTGAAACGCGCCGCTTAACTCGATACCGGAGCTCTTGACGTCGCCACCGAGGTCGTCCCAGCTCACGACCTGCCGTCCCTCCTGTGGAACGCGCCACTTAATCGACACCGGAGCCCTTGACGTCGCCACTGAGGTCGCCCCAGCTCACGACCTGCCGTCCCTCCTGTAGAACGCGCCGCTTAACTCGATACCGGAGCTCTTGACGTCGCCACCGAGGTCGTCCCAGCTCACGACCTGCCGTCCCTCCTGTGAAACGCGCCGCTTAACTCGATACCGGAGCTCTTGACGTCGCCACTGAGGTCGTCCCTCCTGTGGAGCGCGCCACTCACCTTGATATCGGCGCCGCTGAGGTCGTCCTTGGCCAAGATCAGCTCGTCCAAGTTGACGTCGTCCGCCAGCGTCATACGGTTGGTGTGGATCTGGAAGATGCGTCGCTTGGTCTTCTCGTCGGGCAGCGGGAACTCGATCTTGCGGTCGATGCGGCCCGGTCCGGATCAGCGCCGGGTCCAGCGTCTCGATCCGGTTGGTCGCCATCACCACCTGGCGGAGGATCGACGGAAACACGTGAGATGACGTGGACGCCCAGGCCAAACGCGGTTTCACAGCGCCTGGGTAGCCGGAAACAGTGAATCGCATGCGATGGTTTCATCACTATCAACAACAAATCCAATCAAGATAGAACCAACTATTTGATTGCTTTCAATCAACACTAACCACAAAAACGCATTAATACTTAACCTCAAAGCCGACAATAAACACGATGCAATGCAAAGTCAACATTCCGCAAAGGTGCGCCAGCATCAGTGAGCCCGAGAAACGACCTTCGGCCCTATCTGCGACGACGCAATGCCTAGAAATACAGCCTTCTTGCATCAACGGCAAAGGCACGGCTGTCCACCACCCCTACTCCAACAGCTACGGGCGCAGCCCGAGCCCGCCTGTCCCGCCGACCCCGCCAGCCACAGCCGCCCCCCCCCCCCCCCCGCCGGTCGGACGGGTGCGCGACGCACCTTCACGTCTCCGCGCGAGTCGAAGCCGTCCAGCTGGTTGAGCAGCTCCAGCATGGTGCGCTGGATCTCACGCTCCCCGCCAGAGTTGGAGTCGTAGCGCTTGGTGCCGATGGCGTCGATCTCGTCGATGAAGACGATCGATGGCGCGTGCTCCTCGGCCACGCGGAACAGCTCGCGCACCAGCTTCGGCCCGTCACCCTGCGGCGGCGGCGAAGCCGGGTCAGGCGAGGATAGGTGGGGGTCAGAAACTCAAGTGGCGCCAGGCGAGGTCAGATAGGGCCGGGTAGAGGTCAGAGGGAGAGGGGAGAAGAGGTCAGGTCGGAGCTGATCTGGCCCACTGGTCACGCGGCGCATGTGGGATGGCACGGGATGGCCAGTGTGTACCTGGGTGGAGCTCTCATTCTGCCTTGCCTCCCACAGCCATAAATGTTTAACAAAATCTGAGGTGGTCGACTCCTCTAAACGCTTCTAAGGAGCTTGAAGTGATGTTCAGTACCTGCTGCTCACCCGTCAACCAACACGCAATGAAGATACAATAAATAACACACCACATCCCTCCTCAACTAACAAACCCCCAGTCATCCCAGCCAGCAGCCTATGTCCTCCCTGCCCTCCCCACCATCTGACTGACCAGGTACTTCTGAATGAGCTCCGAGTCACCCCAGCCGGCAAGCCTATATCCTCCCTGCCCTCCCCACCATCCGACTGACCAGGTACTTCTGAATGAGCTCCGAGCCGACCACGCGCAGGAAAGTGGCCGACGTCTGGTTGGCCACGGCCTTGGCCAGCAGTGTCTTGCCGGTGCCGGGCGCGCCGTACAAGATGACGCCCTTGGGCGGCCGTATGCCCATCTCCTCGTAGTACTCGGGGTGCGTCAGCGGCAGCTCCACCGACTCCTTGATCTCCTGGATCTGTGCGTCCAGGCCTGCGGCGCGCGGCCACCACACGTCAGAGGCAGGTGGAGATGCCGGCGCAGGCGGCACACACACGGCGGATGACGGCCGAGCCAAGCTTGGAGGCAGGCACGGAAACGGGCAGGAGCTGGCACAGACGCGCTTAGACAGAAACCGTTACACGATCGCAGGCAGAGAGCAACAATGAAGCACAGATCACAGGGCCCGACAGAGCCCCAGTCACGGTCAAGTGGCGGAGCACCACACGGGAGGACGCGAGCCACGACCGGCGGCGCCGCCCGTTGCGGCCACGCACCTCCGATGTCGGCGTACGTCTCCTGAGGTGCCTTGTCCAGCTTCATCACCGTCACCATGGGGTCGGTGTCGTCCGAGAGCACGCCGATCACGGCGTGCACCTGGCGGCCGAGCCCACGTCAGCCGGCGGACGCGGGGCGCGCCGGCGGTGCCACGGCGCCACGGCGTGGGTGCGGGTCACCCAGCTGGAGGTCACCCGCTCGACGGGTGACGGCGGGCCGGCGCACCGCCCGCAGTGTGGGATCGGACCAGTCCGTCACAGCGGTAGGGGCAAGTGGATGCCTTTCAGTGGATCAAGGCTACGGAGCGGTCTCTAAGCTGATAATTTAAAGTGCGATCCATGCGACAGGAACCCCTCAGCAGCCCGGGTCCCCGGAGTTGGCTTCTGGGCCGAGAACTGTCGGACATGACTCTGAACAGCACGGCCCTCTCACCAGCCCGGCTCCCACCACGATGCGGCGAAGTCAATGACGTAACCGGCTGGCTGCGTCGATACATGCCAGCCGATAGGTGGCGCGAACCGACCCGACACCCGGTAAATAACACACAATTTTTTTAAAGTCGTTAAGGGTGTGATCACGTATGGTTTAGCGCCCTATGCCTATTCACAGAAACATTTCCAAATTGTCGGCCATCCTTCAAGTCGGGACATGTTGACGGACAACACCCCTCAGACTAGCAGACGGCGCTAGTGCGCCATGGGGCCGGACCCCATCCGGGGCACTGCAGCGTCACCTTGTGATTGAGCAGCACCGAGCAGC